TCTGGTACTTCGGCAGTTGGTCCAGCTGACCAAAATCAGCTAGTCCCGGCTCCGGTTTTGTTTCTTGTTTGTCGGCGGTTTTAGCTTTGAGGGGAGGCTGTGGGGGCTGTCCGCCAGCCCAGGGCCGCAGCGTTCCGGGTGAGAGCTGTGGTGCGAGCAGAGGGAAGAACTGAGAGGGAAAGGGACCTGCATCAGGACAAACGTGTGAGGCACTCTGCAAAGCCTTACTCTAATTACATTTTATTAAAATCGTTGTTCAGCACGAAGGTTGCTTCAGCGCTTCTTTATTAGTGACATGTACTGTGATAGCTGTCAGTTTTCTCCGGTGCCTAATTAATTTACCCTTTTCACTTACAGTTTGGAGAGCAGATGCTGTACAAATCTCATTCAGTATGAGCAGAAAAGCCTCTGAACATTAATATAACTGTTAATTATGGTGTTTGTTGCAGCAATTACAAGAAACTTCATGTAAGGTCTTAACTTAGGTCAATGCTATTTCCTACCCAGACAAATACTCTTGACATCCTCTTACAGTTCTTTAAATGTAAAGGTAGATTTTATGAAGGTTGTAGGCATAAATTCAAGCTTCACTTCGTAGGTCTGCAGGCACGTAACATAGGAGGACAACACAGTTGGCCCCAAGATCGTAGCTGGGGATTTTGGAGTTAGGTTATGTATACCCCTGGATACAAAGTTACAAAGTAGATGAGGACACAGAAGGAGGTATGGATGCTCATCAAGTTTTTTTTCTGAACTTCTCTACACATTTGTATAAAAAACAGAACACAATTTCAAAACTCTACAACTACACATAGCACGGTAATGACATCTGGCCGGACTGAGCTCCCCTGGTTCTAGTCCTAGCAACAGCACCAGGAAATTCTCTTCTGCAGAGCAGTTCTAGTTTTTTATTTTGATATAATGAGTACTTGTTTGTTCTTCGCTGCCAACAGAAAGCTCAATTCAAGAAAAACAGAAAGTATGATTTAAATCTGAGTATGTACCTCTAAGACCAAGATGTGTGCATCTGAGGGTTTACTTCAGCTTGGAAACCTCAGTCCTCTACAAAGAACACTGTGATCGTATGTCATTGCCATGTTTGATGGTTACATGTTACCAGCCAGCTGTTCAAATACAATTGTATGGTTTTGGAACAGATGCAGAACAAAGCAAGAAATCTGCTATTCTATTTTCCTTGCCTGCCAAGGCTTTGTAATAGCGCAAACAAAAACAGCTGAAAGAAATAGTTCAAAAATAGTCTGAGCTAGTTTTGCCTTTTGTATTCTTCACCTACCCTCCCTATGCAAGAACAGAAGAACGTAATGGAAATCTGTTACTGATTCTTTTCTTTCTGACATTTTTTCTGACTGTTTCTTTGATTAAGACTGTAGACCGTACTGCTTAGACCACAAGTGTAGCTGAGGAATTCTTGCACAGATAGGCCTGTACCATCTTTTCCTACTATTTCAAGTATAAAGATACCGGGCATATTTTAGGGTTAAGAAATACAGAGGGTATCAGGAAAAACTGTGGGAAAAGGTATATATCCCAGACTAAAGTACAGTAAAAGCTTTTCTACAAATCGTCCTTTTGTAGGAAAGTATAGATATGGGAGATTTAGACAGGATTAGCAGATTCCAGAAAGTTGAAATAAAAAAAAAAACCCTGAACTTTAAAAATGCTTGTGGGCTTTTTTCGAGTATCTTAGTCATGCCTCGGTCTTGAGCTAGTGAAATTAAGTAAAAAAAAATACAATGATACAGCAGTATGATGAAAACCAGGAAAAATTCAACTGAACTTTTTGCTATCCTTTTCCTTAGGTACCTGCTAACTGATTTTAGCCATGTGTGAGCAATCTGTTAGCACTAGTTCCAAAACCTTGTCAGGGCTCTGAGTGCAGTAATATGCCCTAATGACCATGGCCAGTCTCATCTGGGGCTTCCACCCACGCCCTGGCCCACGGGCGCAGGAACTCCATTTAAGCTCTGGCCTGGGTCTTGGCCCGCTTTTGATCTCTGTTATGGTTGTGCCTAGCTGTAAGCTTTCTTGGCCTGTGGACTGGTGTTCTGGCTTACGCTTGTGTCTGCCCAGTAACTGCAAGTTTGCCTGGGCTCTCTGCACACCCTGGCTGTCGTCTCTGTCGCTCTGCATATTTTGCCTCGGAGTAGTGGGACAGGGCAGTGGCTGGTGTTTTTCCTGCCCTGCCAGCCTGGCTACCTGACTTGGCTCGCTGTTAGGAAGCAGCTGGACCCTGCCACTCCTTGGATGATAGACTTAGAGCCATGGCTACTAAATACTTAGGTAAGGTCAAGCTAATTGATGGTAGTATCTCTTTTTAGACTTTTTTGTGACCTAATACAAGGTGTTTGGATTCACCTCTACTTTTCAAGTGTTAAATACATTTGAGGCTAAGAATAATAAGTGGACAGGCTTGAGTAGTGTGAAAATACTGTGCTGGCAAATGTATGCATAGATGCAGAGTAATCCTAGATAGCGGAAACTTTTGTAGTGTTTTAGTGTTTTTCTTTTTCCGTGGTAGTCATTCTGATCCCTAATTCTTAAGGATCTCTTCCTAAATATCTATTGGGAACAAAGCAAGGTATCACTGGGCAGCCTTTGTGACAATTTAAGAAATCCATACATATAATAGTAATGTTTCAAATGGCATTACTCTGATATATTAGAACATATCAATAAACACTTTGCTAAGCCATCTATTTACAGACAGATGCTAGCGACACACATGTCCCGAGCTGATGAAGACAGGTTGAGTTCTACTAGCCTGATAATGGTTGCCACAGTACTAGAGTAGGTATAGAGGCTCCATGAGAAAGTTAGAAATTACCCACCAGAAAGCGTAAAGGGCAGTTTCTGTTTCTGTTTCATTGGGGGTAGTACACGTAGATGGAGAAGTCCTTTCCAGAACATGTAACTGCACGGGTGATCCTCCTGTGTAGTACTTCAGCATATACCCCTACTTGCCTTGTTAAATTAAGCAGGACAAGTCAGTCAGCTTACAGTGGGTTTTGCCTGTGTTGGAAAAATAGCCTTCTATGAATTGGTAATCAGTGAAGAAATTAAATTATTTGTGGCATCACCAGATGCAAAAGTAAACAATAGATTTTGTTTGGTAAAACATGAAATATAGAAAATATACCTGACTGCAGCATTTTGTAGGTGACATTTGATAAGGCTTTGTCTTAGGCTGTCGTAGTTTCTGGTTGCCAGTGACTAAATCCTGCTGTTATGTATGAATGCAGAGAAGCTGTTCCTATGTATAGTCTGAGTTGCTACTGCTATGATTAGAGTCTGGCTTGTGGTCTGAGGATGTATACTGTCTTCCAGTTTTATGTAGAATGCACCTTAATTTCTGTAAGGAAATGTGTATACAGAATGAGGAGAAAAAGAAGCCTTAGTTACTGCATGGGTCTGCAAAAATAGAATTTTGTTCTGTAGACTTTACTAATACCGGTATCAGACTTTGAAGAAATGTCACAGACTATGAGGGGTTCTCAGAGCAGAAGGCAATAGAGCCAGCAAAGAAGAAAATATGAAGGAAAGTGGAAAATAAGCTGTTTTTTCAGTGACTGTATAGCTCCAAACTGTGAATCTGGAGCTTCACGAAGTTTCTTTCCCTCTGTCTACCAAATCTTGCTAACCCTTCTTTATCCTCATTCATTGACAAATAGATTGTGTTCAATTATGTCATCACTGACTGTTAAGAGTGAGTACATCTGCTAGCTCCCACAGGAGCAAGGAACCACCTCTGATCCACCAGAGCTAAGTCAAATCTGAGTCCTTTGTGGAAATGAAGCTACTTCCATCTCTTCTAGGAGAATATAATAACAAAAATATCTTCATTTATATCCAGACAACATTACTGAGTCGAGATGAGTTTAATCCATTTCACAGAGAGCAAATAGTTTATCCCACTCTTATGGCACTTGTGACTCGGTACCTCCCTCAATATGGAGCACTTGGGCTGCAGCCAGGCTGTCGTGAGGAGAATGGATACTTTTCCCTGCTAATCATTCACAGTATAGTCTCTTAATGAAGATTGTAAATGTGTAACTGAAGAAACAAGAGCGTTTGCCAACATAGCAAAAGAAGCTGGCAAGTAGAAGAAAACAGAAGAATCAAAAATGAATTTTAGGCTTGCTTTCTTGTCCTTACGTTTACTTTCAACTGTGAAGTATAGATCGAGCTGGAGGTTCTACGCTCTGTTATGTCATTCTTGGGTTTGAGCTTCGTGTTTTATTTACTGCTTTGTTCCCACCCACACAAGCTTACAGGAGTGTGCACCATTTTATGTTATGGGTTTTGCTGTAGTTTCTTCTGCATTTGTATTGACACACAGGCTGTGTGTGAGAAAGTGAAAATTTTGTTCCTCTTGCTGCCAAGCGTTTGGTGCACAATGTCACTTTTCTAAAGCAGTTTTCTGGTGACCTCACTTTTGCTTTGGGAGTTTAATTTTTTTGTGTCTCAGCTGTTACTGACACTTCTTCTTTCCTCTAGTTTTGCTGCATTTTGCTACATTAATTATTCATCTGCTTTCATAACCACCATAGTCTTTGTCACTAGTACTCCTCCCAGGGATGTATCATGTATTTCTTCCAACCTTGTCCTTCTTTAATTCCTTCTCACTGTTTCCTCCTTGCTTATGTTCTCTTCTTCTGTTTCCATATTGGTGTGCGTCTTTAGATGCTCATCTAGTGGCATGCAGAAGTCATGTTGTGAGACACAGGTCACATACCTTACTCTCGCTTTTCACCAGTGAGCCATTACAGTAAGGGCAGTGATTGTTCTGCTGACCTTTGTTGCCCATGACTTGCAATGTAACTGATTTCCTCAAAGCCCCTGTTTACTCAACAAATGTTGCCTCTTTCAAATAGCACTCAATAACATTTTAGTTTTAACAATCACAGAAGCAGAGATCATCACAGACTGAGGAAAACAGATCGTTGTCACTGTTGGCATGAGAACAAAGTGGCAGCCAAGTTCAGGAATTCAAATTTGGCATACCCACAGTCCTCAGTGGGGTTGCATTTTTTTGCAAACTAGGAAAAAAACAATCTGTTAAAGAACACATAGCTATGTGTAAATAAACTAAGCTATTTTACTTCTGCAATATATTTTTCATTTTGCCTTCTCTGCATTTAAACTTCATGTATAGAAGTTCATATTTTCTAATTATGCCCACAATCAGCATGTAAATCCTTTTGAAAAGATATGCTGCAAAACCACAAAATGATCATGAAAGTGTATTATAAATTTATCTCAAAATGTCTGTCCTAACATTTTAGTTAGGGCTATGAACACTGAACTACAACAAGAAGTATGTGCCATCTGAATGAAGATGTGTTTGCTCCGGAGAGTCATGAAATTTAATGCATCTGCTACTACTGTACAGGATCATAAATATGCAAATAAGCCACAAGTTGTTTTGCTTGAGGATAAAAAGGAATTTGAGAGACAAGAAAGGACAAATATTTATTCAAATACTTGAAATAGTGACCATTTGTATATACTGTATCAGTTAGTGTTAGATTCATTTAAACACAAACTGAGAGGAAGACAGTAGCTTTCTTCTGTAATGTTTAGGACTATATGTAAGTAGTTTTTCTTTCTTTAAGCCACAATAATTATTTTTCTACTTGCTGTATTGACGGAGCTCTTTCCAGAGCCCAGGGCAACGATCAGCGTGGAACATGACAGGTTCCATAACACCAAGAAATCAAAGACACAGTGCTGAAGCTGAACTTTGTACCTTGATACTAACAAAGGCTTTACTCTTTATAGGGCATAATGTATCTGTGAAGTGTGACAGTGCGTGATTGCTTGCTACCCCAGAGAGCTTGTTATTTCAGGGTAGACAAGCACCCTGCAGAAATACAGTGCAGGGCCAAAGAACTGATTATACCGAGTTGGGGTTCTCATGACTCTAGTTACAGGAAATTTAACATTTTCCTTTTATTAGTCAATCAGGTGCAGCTCTATTACTGATAATTTTGAGGCCTCAAACCAAAGTTTTGTTTCTGCGCGGGGCCTCAGCAGGATACTTCCAGTTTTGGTATTCATTAGACATAATCCTGATTTATGAGCCAAATGTTGTTCTGCACTGTTTCAATGGATTTTAAATTTGTAGTTTAGCCAAACACATTTTTTTTCCTGAGGAGTATAGACTTTTGTTATGATGAAAGAATGGCCTTCATGAATATCAGATTTGCTTAGCTGAACTTGTTTTGAGAGAATTTTTATATAAAAGTGGAGTCTGCTGAAGAATTATGTATACCTGCTTTTCAGAACAAAGATAAACAGAGATGTGAAGATTTTCTATTATTGTTCACTGAGAGGGTGAAATGTGGTGGTTATCGTGTGATTGAACACCAGACCAGAGATTTTTTTCTATTTTGCCCTTAGTTATATCTTGTGGGAACTTTTTTTCTGTGCCTTTTCTGCCTGCACTTTTGAGTGTAAGCTGAAATTTTCTGTTACAGTTGAATGTAAATCAACGAATGACGAAATATTTCATGGTTATGTTTGGTAGTGAAGACACATGGTCTTAAGTCAGCATAAAACAAAGGATAAGACCATCACACTTCCAACCAGCTTCCTCAAGAGAGACCATGCCAGCTGTACAGATGGACGAGATCATGATTAAGTGTTCGATGAAATAAGTGCAAATGTTCATATTTCACAATTTTATGAACAGTAAGGACTTTACAGCTGTCATTTAATGTTATTTAAATGATGCACATTTTAGAGAGCAGTAAGAGAAAAGTGTATATCTGATAAAAAATGTCGCCAATAATGAGACAAACACAGAAATTATGCATGTGAACTCTGAGTGTTAAGGGTATCGCTGTTCTTCCCCATTCAATATGTTATACCAACTCTGACAAACTAATGTGGCGTGAGGAGGAGGATTAGAAGACTGTGGTAGAAGTATTAATAATGTAGTGTAATAGTCAAAGAACAATAGTTCCTGCCTTGAAGAGCTTACAGTCCATACAGACAAGACAGAGTGAGTAGAAGGGAAGTTAAATGTTTCCTTAGAAAATGGTGCTTTCTTTTAAACCTGAGTGGTCAATTAGTTTTTGCAGAATTCCTGACAAACTTCTCCAGGGATGAAAATTAGGCTCCCAGGAGCT